GAGTTAGGCAGCAATATAATAAATTTACTTAAGGACTGTACTTAGTTACATTTTTTTAGAATATGTACTTTACTTCAGTAGCTTTTTTTGGGGGGAAAACCTTTTTTACTTTTTTTTCACTACATTTTAAAAATAAAAACATACTTTTTACTCCACTACATTTCTGTAATGGCGTTAGATACTAGTTGTGTTTTTGTTTGTGTAGTTCATCTGTTTTGTTCCACCGACACACTGTAAAAGTACACACTACACCCCGTTACAGTAGGTGGTGATAAGCAGCTTTAAATGGTTGTGAGGAGAAGATTTTTTTGTTCTGTTAGTGTTGCCTCATAGGTACACTAGTGCAGCGTAGGGTTGAGCGATAAATCGATGTAATAGATTAATTCGAATTTGCCATTTAWAAAGATTTAATTTTGGGAAAATCTGGATTTTATTCCCACCAGTGCACTCTTTGGGTCTTCTGTAGTTCAGAGGTCACCCCACCTTCCCTCAAGACGCTTGGTGCACGACGTGACAATGACAATATGGTAACTAGCGAACAGGATCTACTTCCCCAAAAGGCACCGTTCCTTCAGTTACTGTATCTGGAACTGGTTAGGTTTTGCAATCTCAGACTTGGAGCAACGAACACCTCACTGCAAAATCTGTTTGAAGGCTCTTGCTACAAAAAGCAGGAGTACAGCAAATTTGTTTCAACACCTGAAACAGAGACACTCTGTTAAGAGGGAAACAAAATCGATAAAAATCGAATATGGGATGAAAAAAATCTGGGATTATTTATACTGTATATATATTTTTTGGCCATATCACCCAGCCCTAATGCAGCGTTCCAGTTGTAGCAGAACTTAAAATTKTGAAGCCGGACTGACGTCAGTTCAGGGTTGAAACCATTCCAGTTTTTTTTTTCTGCAACAATAACACTTGCAACGGTAGTGCTCTATGAAGTATTTTGATTGTAAAAACATTGTGAAAACATATCTCATGATAATCACTATAAAGTACTACAAGTACGACTGACATAATGTAAAGTAAACAACACGAACTACTAAAAACCGTAAAAGTTTAACTCTGTGAGGGGCAGCCATGTTGAAATGACGTAACTCGTGCCCGGACTAATCGGATATGTTCATTTAGTGCCCACCTTAAAAAATTCAAAATTACAACACCAGGGTGTGTTCTAGTTGAAATGTAAAACTACGACTTCTGAGGACAACTGGAATGCAGCATAGATATACAGRACTAGACAGGTCTAGTGCCCAGTCTTTTAGATCCTGATTAGTCCTCCTGAATATCGACTCATCTCATTAAGTTTGAGCATTTTAGACATTTAGTCCTTTTTGTTGCATCAATGGATTTCCATCAAATAAACTGTTAAATTGTTTTGTACAAAAGTATTTTTAGTTTATTATAACAAATATTCTCTTTTCAGCATAGTATTACAAACATTACAAATAACAACTACAAAGCTCAGATTATTAGATTTAGAGCTCCTTAATTAGTTATTTAATACTAGGTTCTTTCAAACATTTTTCCAAGCCTTGTCCTTGAAGTGAAAAGCATGGCTAGCTCACAGGGAAAATAACAAAAATTAAAGGCTTTCCTGCTCAAACTCATGTTTTTTGTAGCTTCTGCTCAAAAGTGTGCTTCAAAAAATTGTTTGTATTTCAAATTTTTAATTTAAATAACCTGTTAAAAAGGTATTTATTTATTTATATTTTGAGTTTTAACCAAAACACAATATTTGCCTATTCCTCCACAACCGCTTTGGGACTTAAATCCTCAGTTTGATGGGATTGGTCACGTTTGTTTAGAGTTACAGGATCTGTCCAATAAAGCAGAAAACATTGACAATTATTCTTCACTACACTCAAGTAAAATCCAAATTAGRACTTTCAGTTCTGGAGTTTGTGCTTTGAAAAATTGTGACAGAGRTACTTTTACTTTTATTGGAGTAATTTTTGACCAGTAGGATCAYRACTTTGTCCACCTCTGGTAGTAATCTTATAATGTTGGTGCAGTGCCAGTTACACAACACATGCTGGTGCTTCACCGCAAACACACCACTGTGCTGCAATTTAGTATTTCCTCACACTAATGTTTAAAACCAACAAGTGTTGTATAAATGTAGCTGTTTCCTTTAAATTTTTAAATAAGGTTTAAAGTTTTCATAAAAGGAAGAATTTCTTCTTCATTCTTTCATGTTTGTTCTTATTTGTGTTTCCACAGYTCATGGGAATGCACTTAGGACGGGGATCATTGTTGCAGTTGGTGAGTTTCCACTTTATTTTTCAATGAAATATTTAAAATATACAGAGATAAAGTAGGCTCTAACAAGATTAGTGAGGTGTAAGAAGAAAAATGTGACTATAATACGAAGATTACAGAGTTTATTAGAGTTCATGCTGCCCTTTGGATCAACAAAATTGCACAAATTGACGGCTAGACTACAGAACCTATTGATACAGTTACAGATTGTTGGACTGTTTTACTGTGACTTGTTTTTTCTATTGGTACTTTTATATGATTGTTTTTTTTTCTTCTAAAAAGATAAATATGTATATATATAT